CTGTGAGGGGTCTGAGACCTGCCCTGTGGCCTTCCTGGGGCCCTTCCTGAGTCTGTTGGGGAGGAACTCGTGAGGGAGGCTTGGGTCCTGGGCTTTTTCCCTGGGTGCTCCTTCCAGGAGGCCCTGGGCTGACTACTACATGGGCTGTCTCCTCCCAGGTGCTCCAAGCTAGGTCTGGCTTCTGCCAGCTCCCTCCTCCATCTCATCGCTCTCTGCAACTGGAGTAGTCAAGGGGCGCCTGCCTGGCTCCCAACTCCCTCTAGTGGCCAGCACCTAGATGTCAGCTTTATTAGTCTGGCCTCAGGAGTTTCTGTGGGGTTTGCCTGCCCTGTCTCTGCATCCCCTCTCTCCGTGCTCATGTGGAGGCTGCAACCAGGCAGGGAAGGGGCCTCTGTCTCTGAAGACATGCTAGGGTAGTCAGCTTGTCTGCAAGTGCAGTGATGGAGATGGACAGATACAGGAGTGTGAGGGTTGCTGTTGCACTGTGGGACCTCAGTACCAGGGAACCCTGAGCATGCCTGAGGCCCAAGGGGTCACAAAATAGTCTCGAGTCTTGATTCTGCTTCCCAAGGTGACTCTTTCACCCAAGAAATGACAACATGCTTGTTACTGCTCTCAGTATAGCAGGGAGCTGAGGCTTTGAAGGCTGATGTTATATGGGCTGGCCCAGGCATGGCACCCCAGGCTCACCCCTCCCGTCCTGTCCCCTGCTTCTTGCTGGTGTGTCAAGTTGTCTTCATAGCATTGTTGAGGCATAAGTGACATGCAATATGTTGCATGCTGCTAAAGTGTACAGCTTGGTAGGTTTGATGTGTGGTTGCACTCTGAGGCCATCACCTCTCTGAGACAGGACATATCCACTCCCAGGCTCCTAGTGCCCTTTGCAGTCTAGGTCAGCCCTCCGTGATCCTCCATCTTTCTTGGTGGAACAGGACACTGAGAGGGCTTGGGGTTGATGCTACTGGAAGGGCAGGCAGCACCAGGGATGTGATGATATGGGGGCTGGGATGCCTGGTGGTGAGAAGCAGTGGTGACAACACAGGAAAAAGGAACATTTGATAGCATGCCTCCACCTGAAGAGACCCCAGACACTGGGCATGGGCCTCACCTACCCTCAAGGGGGCCTTACCTCTCAGACCCCACTGCTAGACATATTGGGGGACACATGGGCAGCTCCACCTTCTGCAGTCCCGCTCATTCGTAGTCTTGTGAAGAGCCACCCAGCTCACCACAACATTACTGCAGACATCTGCTTTTTTTCAACCTTGTTAATCTTCAACCTGGTTATATTAGAATGAAATTGAAGTACAAACCGATTTACTTCTTCATTTGCTTCTAAACCCTCATAAGTAGGAGGAAGAGGTGTGTTCCACTGGGAAGCATATGGGCTCTTGCACCTCTGTGCTCAACTCTGGGCACCCAACTCCCATCTGGCTGCACATGTTCAAAGTTGAGGCCAGTCTCTTCCCCCACTGCAAGTCCTATGCCTGTCATGATGGTCTGAAAAAGTCTGTCCTTCCATGCTGTAGCAAGTGTCACTGGAGGGCTGAGGATGTAGCTCAGTGGCACTGTACCTGCCTGGCAAAACCAAGGTTCTGAGTTTGATCTCCGGTACCAAAAGCAAAAACTAAAATAAAAACCCTCAACAACAACAACAACAACAACAAGCTTCACTTTTAACAATCATCTGGTGCAAGCCATTGCTCCTCTTCCACTGAGGTACCTAATCCTTGGACCCTGCAACAAGGCCCAGGGTTCTCTCCCAGGCAGCTTACCTAACACCAGCAACCTGCACTAGGCCTCCTCCAGAGATGCAGATTGTGGAGATGTTGTTTAAACTGGGAGACTTTGCCTCACCTTGACGCAGACCACAATTGTACAGCCCAACATGACAGACCCAACACATACTTCCTGTGGCCTTGACTCTAAGTACTCACTATCTGCCTTGCCACTGGCAGTGAAGTGCAGATATGTTTCAGCATGAGCTGAGATGTGGTACCACCTTGCACATGCTGACCATGAATACTCACCCTGGGTCTGTTAATTCTCCCCACCTTTATACCCAGGCAGGGGGTTCTGCTCTGGGACAGGCTGAGGACACCTATGGTCAGGGAGGCCCTGAGTTCTGGTGCCTCAGCTGTAATGTCTTTGTTGTGGTTTGGATGTGTGTTCCCCAAAGGCCCACAAGTAAAGACTTGGTCCCCAGGGTGGTGCCTTTGGGAGGTGCTGTGGGCTTTTATAAGGTGTGGCTTTATGGGATGGGAGGTCCTTAGGTCACTGGGTCATGCCCTTGTGGGGAATTGTGAGTCCCAAGCCCCTTCTTCCTCCTTTTTGCTTCCTAGCTCATTATATGAGCAGTTAGCTCTTCCATGTGCTCCCCGTCACTGCTTTGCCACCTTCAGCAGAAGCCCAGAGCAATGGGTCTCCTGATTGTGGACAGGAACCTCTAAAACCAAATAGGCCAAACTAATCCTTTTATTTTATAAGTTTATTGTCTCAGGTACTTTGTTATAGAGATGGAAAGCGACAGCAGGGCTCCCCTCAAAGGGACTGTGCCAGGGGACAGCTAGATCTTAAATTGTAGAGAAAGGACTTGTCCTGTTGTTAAACTGTGAAGGTGCTGACATTTAGGCAGAATTAAAATAATTTGAAGTTAAGGTATCCTCTTAACCATGCTGCTCTCAGCACCCACATTTCATCCTGGGGAGGAGGGGACAACCCGGGGCCCCTGACACCAGGTCATCTGCTGGGACACACAAAGATAGGTTGTCGAATACCAGCCTGGTTCTGGATGACCAGAATGTTCATAGTGCTGCTCTGAGTTGGAGCCTCTGTGAATTTGGACCACAGCCTGGGGAGGCTGTTTGCATCCTCTGTCCAGGGCTTTGGAGGGCTGACTGTGGGGCAGGTGCATCTGGGCTCAAGCCACTGGCTCCACAGCCCAGGAGGCCCTGGCAGTTGGCCTTGGGTAGTAGGAGTTACCCAGATGGATGCTTGCCCCTTCCAGCACCCCTCCTTCTGGGTCCACAGGAGCCAGCGTGGTGGGGCCTAAAGTGATATAGTCATTCTGTTGCTGATGCCCTCCCTGAAGCCTGGCCTTACCCACAGTGGGAATGTCTTCCAACAGTGGCCCAGGGATGCACCTCTCCCTCATGCTTGGCCTCTGTGGTCCATTTTCTGCTCTGCCCACCCTTTCTAATGACTGAAGGATTCAGGTGGCTGCTCAAGTTTTGCCTTGAGACCTTCCAACTTGGCCCCTCTACTGGCCACCCCTGTTTGGCCTCCCAGATGCCCATCAGGGCCCTGCCTCTGCCCTGCACCGTGCATCCTGTGTTCATCCTATCTTCTTTCTCCTACCTTGCCCTTGTCTTCCCGGGGCATACCCCACTCCTACAGATGCAAAGCTGTCCTCTATCATGGCCAGAGGCTCTGCTTTCCCCAACTCAAAGGTTGCAGAACAGTTTTTGGTTGACATTTCAGCCTGACAATGAATCACGCAGTCAAGGTGGTATTGTGGCCTTCAGTCTCCAATGTAAATCCTGGCAACCACCGTGGTAGAGGAAGCATAATGGGAGGATGTCCTGGAGATCTGTGGGCCTTGTGGAGGGCTCAGCAATCCTCAGGGCCAGCAGACACTCCTTGCCCCAGGCTGAGGATCATACAGATCCCAGTGGTATCCACCCAGAGACACTAAGAGTCTCAAGGACAGGTGGCAGGACTAGACAAGCTTCCTATGCTGCCTCCATTTCCTGGGACACCAGAGCCCAGAGCAACTCAGAAGCCCCCAAGACAGCTGCCTATGCAGAAGGATGGGCATGCAGGTCCCACCTTGAGGCTGCTTGTCAGCCCTCTGACAGCTGGGTCAATCTTCTGAGCTGACCTTCCTCCTCAGGTGGGCTCTTGGGGGCCAGGAGCTGCCCTTGGCCTGCTGTGTTTCTTAGAATCTCAGAGAGGCAGGTTATCACCCTACTCTTACTAGAAACCCCATGGGCCTCTCAGCTACTCAAAGCCCTCACAGGGATGACTCATTCAGAGGCTGCCCAGAGGGCTTCATGGAGGAGTGAGGGGGCCAGAGAGATGCTCTTAATTTACCTAACCAGCTCTGGCGCCTGGGTAGGCAGACCTGAGACCTTTCTGGAGCTATAGGACAGCTTCCCAGGAGAGACAGAAGCTGCCTGTGTGGTCTACAGACCTCTGGGGGCTTCCTCAGCTAGAATCACTGCAGAGGAGCCTGTTGAGACCCACCTGTGTCCTAAGGCACAGGTGACTTTCACTTTCCCACCTATTTCAGGTGATTAAGTTTGTCACAGCTTTCTTGTGTGGTAGGGATGTCACCTCTGTGAGTTAGTACCTGTGCAGAGAGGAGGGGGTGCCTCATGCTGTGTCTTTTGAGAGTGCACATGTGCATGCATGCACATTCATGCACGCACACATGCAACAACCTTCACAAACACATTTACTCCCAAATACAACCACACGCACCCTCACAATCATGCATGTTCACATCTATAGGTCCCACACACAATTCATAACCACACAACACACATATGCAGGCAGCATACCCACACATATATCCACATGGACACTCACAAAAGAAGGAAGGGACACAAAAAACCCCTGAGACAATGGGACGTGGTCTGCTCTCCTGACCCATGTCCTATGCAGGATGGCTCCATGTTGAGTGCTCCATCTTGCAGTTATGCTGTGAATCCCCAAACAGGACACACACAGGGGATGTCACAACACTGGTCTCGAGTGGACTCACAAGGCTAAATCAATATCGAAACACAATGAGGTTCAATATTTAATGCTGAATTTCTTTGGTTGAATGATGAGGTGCCCTCTTTGTTCTGCCAGGGGGTGTGGAGAGCAGAAAGGATGTGAGGGGCCGCAGCCCAAGGGAGCAGCCTGGATGGGGTCCCGCCCCCACCTGGACCATTGTCCCCTGTCAAGGGCAAGAAACACACACAGGATGCTATTGACCAGCCTCACCAAGGACAAACAATGCAAAATAATGTATTTTCATCTGGACAGTCTGCATCTACAGTGTGCACACAGCATAGCATTGGGTTCTGTGTGCATCAGCTACGGAAGCAGGTGACAAGCCTAGACAGTGACAAAAACTTAAACCACCCAGAGGTCCTTGGTTGCCTGTTGCTTGACCTATAAGGACACACAGGGTCTGTGTTGGGTGCAGGAAGCTGCGGTAAGTTACAATATCACAGATGAGTTTATAAGTGTCAGGGCTGACAGGCTCCTTACTCAGATACTGAGCATTGGTCTCTGGATGGCACTTCTCACTGCAGCACTGCAGATTGTGCCTACCTGGAAGGTGCTGCAACATACCTCCTGCTCTCCCCTCTGAGGTGTGCATTGGGAAGGTTCTGCTCCCGATGAAGCCACCTGCCCAAACAGCAGAGTCACAGTGACACTGATCCTGAGGCTGACATGAGCACCTGCAGTGAAAACCCAGGGCTTGGGGTGGATAGAAAACAAGTGTCTGGGTACATGTGTAAATGTGTGTACACTGCAGTATGTGTGTATGTGCACTCGTGTGTGTTGTACAGGTGCATGAAGGTATGCATGTGTGTTTTGTACGATGTGCACACACTCATACACATGCCTGTTCTGCAAGTGTGTGCATGTGTACTTTTCACACATATATACGTTTGTACACATGCATGTTTGTGATATGCACAGTGTGTGAATGTATGTGTATCCAAGTGTGTGGTGTATGTATATGTGCTTGTGTACATGTATGTGTGCATACATGTGTGTGCACATGTTCCACAGGCTGGGAGGAGAGAGGGGAATGCCTGTGCACAGTCTCATGGGCATGCCCCTCTGAACACAGGTGCTCCAGCCTCAGTGGGGACTCCGCCAGGGACAGGCTACTTCTTTTCACAAAAGGTTCACTGTCGTCAACATCTGTCCTTCGAGTTGGGGCTTTGTGCCCAGATGAAAATGAAAAAAGAAAAAGAAATTTTGTCTACGATGACTATCACACTCCAGTTAGTTCCTCTTCTTTGTGCAACAGAGAAGTGCCCACAGTGGAGTGGGATCCAGTCCAATCCTGATAGTGGCTGGGTCTGGAAGCTGAATCTCCATGAAGTATTTGGGCATCTTGGAAGGCATGGGACCCAAGAGACTGTGACCAGCCCTCTGTAGGCTGGCAGCCATTGGCAGCTGCTTTCCTTGCCTACAGCTCCAGAAGCAGTGTGGGGGGCCCACCTTCCAGCATCCAAGATACTCTCAGGCTGCACTGCCAGGGGTTAGGGTTCAGTGAGCTGGAAGAAGTGCCAGGGGGAAGATGCTGGTGTGACACAAACACAAGGACACTGGAAGGGACCTGTGGAAACTGCCCAGTGGGAGAATGCTCTTTAGGACTGGCCACCATGGCTCCTAGAGCAAAATTTAACACACACATGTGCGCGCACACACACACACACACACACACACACACACACACACGAGGCCAGGAAACATCAGATGGAGCCTCTGCTGAGGTTGCCTGGATCACCACCCAGCAATACAGTATGGATGCAGGGCCCTGCCCTGGGGTCTGGGGTAGCTTCTTTGATAGAATCCTGTACTCTGATTCTGGGCTGCCCTGGAGATGGAATACTATAAACAGAAAGCAGGTGACAGTATGTGGACAGCCACATCCCACTTTGGGACTAACAGAGGCAGGTGCGGCCCAGAACATTTTCCTGCTGGGGTCTTTCACAACAAAAGGAACACAGATCTAATGTGTGAGCAGCTTCTGAAAGGCTTGGTCATTTTGGTGACCCTTCCCATCAACCTCATGTGGCAAATGGGCCTCCTCTTTGCTCAGAAGCTCCTCCAGGGACATGGTGGCACTGGTGAGGGTGATCTGTTCCTGTCCCCATTACACAGTAGTTTCATTTTTCCAGGGCCCTGTTCGGATATTGCCCGTCCCGTCGGTGCTGAATGACAGTCCTTCTTGAACAGTGCCCTTGAGCATCCCATTCTGGCTGGGGCCACCAAATGGCAGGGACTGTGTCCTCCGGAGCATCTCCAAATGGGCAGGTCCTGGAGGCAGCCTTGGAGGGCAGCCGTAGAGTGCAGGACTGGCGTCACTGCCCTCAGGCTGGCTGACCATAGGGAAGGGGTCACCCTGGGTGCAGCAGGCCAATGTGTGCACTCCCATGGGGCCCTCAAGAGAGCTGGTGGGACTGTCTGTGTGTGAGCTATGGGGGCTGCCATCTAGGCTGGAGGGGATGTGGTAGGCATACTCATGCTCAGTGGCAGCTGCCTGGTGCCGGCTGAAGTAGTGAGGCTTAGTTCTGCCCTTGAGGCACCTGTGCAAGTGTGGGTCGTGTGGGAAGGCATCCTCCTCAGGCATGTGCACATGGGCCTCCTCCTCCATCAGCTGCTCGCAGTGCATCTTGGCACAGCAGGGAGTGGCTGGTGAGAGACAGCTGACATGGCCCTGGGCAGCCTGCAGGTTGGTCATCTTGCAGTGGCCAGTGGGTGCGTGGCTGAAGCCCCTTGGGTTGCCAGGGCCTGGTGAGTCCTGCAGGCAGGTGTGCCCCAGTATGTCTCCATTGGCATCAAGTGCAGGGTGGGTGCTGGGTTTGGTGGTGGAGGTGTCCCCTCGGGAAGGGCAGCAAGACCACCAGCATTGCCACACGTCCTCCCGCTTGGCGCAATGGTGGATGAGCACGAAGAGCCCCAGCGTCACACAGAAGGCGCCATACAGACAGCTGAAGATCATGTCCAGGAAGTGGCCCTGAGACACAGCCAGTGCCCCAAAGGTCCATGTGGCTGTGAATAGGAACAGTGTGAAGGCGGCGGCCCGCAGCTGAGCCTTGAACGAGTGCTCATTCTGCAGCTGTGAGGCCACCAGGGTGTCACAGGCAGTTGGTGTGCCTGGCCTCACCCCATGGCAATGGCTTCCCTCTGGTACAGCCAGGCGCTGCTGCTCCTCTGTGCGCTCTCTGAGCTCATACCTGCGCTCGGGGTGGCGCCGCAGCTGGACGTAGGTGCTGAGGAAGTACACACAGGTGACCAGGGCGATGAAGGCAGCTGGCCCATAGAATGCACCCAGGCTGGGCTCCCAGGCCATCCAGCAGCTGCAGGGAGATGCCAGTCAGTGCAGGCCTGGTTGGACAGACTAAGAGGGGTTTCTATAGTGTGTTGGATTAATTTTGTGGGACAGAATCAGATGGAAAAGGGCAGAAGCCAAAGCATCTGAAACTGGTCAGTGGAGAGGAGTAGGCATTGGTAAATGGGGACTGAACTGGAGCAATCACTGGCAGCTCAGATGTCACTAGATGGAAGTTTGGGGTCTGATCTCAGCCCTGCTGGTCAGGGGAAGTGACAAGAAAGTAACCTGGACTGGGAAGCAAACAGAGGTGATGGGTGGGGGCTAAGGTGGGGCTGAAGTAGGGAGGGCTTGGGGGAAGCACTGGGGCTTGAGAGGCAGGGCTGGATGTCCTGGGGCACAGGGAGAAGGTGCGTGTGATGATCTGAGTGTGAGGAGAGTCTGACTAGGGCTCTGGACATGGGCAAGGGGTGAGGTGGGTGAGTCTGTCCCTGCTCAAGGTGTCCATTCTCAGCCGACCTCAGGGCTGCTGCTGAATCATTATCTGCCTCCCAGGCCCTTCCTATCTGAAGAAAACCAGTCCTTTGGTGCCCACACAAAGAGATTTAGCAGGAAACTGAGTCTTTGGGGAGGAGATAGCTCTACCCACCTAGGGGAAAGGGAGGGGAGCCATAGCTCTGAGTGGCCTCTGGGGCCTAGAGCCAGGTTTTGCTGCTTGTTTCTCACCAGGGGCACCTTGGGGAAAGTCACTGACCAAAACTGACACCACTGGAGGCCTGTGGAAACCAGCTTTCCCCCACCCAATATCTGGGCATGGAAACAGTAACGTCCTGCAGGGGTTCTGGGCACCCCTGGGTGTGCAGTGGGCAAGTGGTTCCACCCTCTACAGGGTGGCTAGTACTCAGTACTCACTATGCTGTGTCCTCATCTTCAGTTCCATAATTACTGATGTTTGTGGCAGCTGTGACCCCACAGATGATGAAAGGGATGCCTCCACTGATGAGGTAAAACCTGCCAGAAAGCAGAGGGTGTTGACTCCCTGAGAGCACCTGAATTCACTGCTGTCTTTCCACTTCCTTGGTGCAAATAGACAGCTGAGGGGTCCTGGGCCAAGCAGCCCCTTAGGACAGAGAAGCACAAGCCTGATGGAGGAGCCCTGGCCACTCAGCTGTCTGTGGGAGGCATGGGCCTGTGGCAGCTCATCTGTTACAGACTCAGCTGGAGACCTTACCAGGATGCTGGTGGAGGTGGGACAGCCACAAAGGGGTAGAGTGAGTGTACTTCTGGTGAGGACAGGTTTTGGGGGACACTGAGTGGGGTCACCCACTCAAAATCTCAGGGCAAGGAAGTTAGGCCCATCTAGCCCTCTGCAGCTTCGGAGGCAAGATGTTCCCCTTTGGGCTGGTGCCCTGGAGGGACAGCATTCATTCCAAATACAGTTAAGATGACTTTACCCGGGATGATCAAATGTCAGATACATCCGGCAGAAAGCTTGTGTGCCTTGGATGTGAGGCTGAGAGCACACTGGTTCTGACAGCAAGGGTTCCCAGAGATGGTGTACCCAGCCATGGGTGGCCTGTTGAACGGGCCACTGTGGGACCCATTTAGGAGAAGGGGCTCCCTCCTGGGGGCTATAACATACCTGGAAGGCAGAGTGTGCTGTTCCCACAAGCACAATAATGAGACCCCATATTCAAGAAGTGGGATAGGAGGCCCCCAGGGAATCTTCACCTCCTAGGACTCTGTAGCCAAAGAAATGGCCTTCAAGAATGGAGGTAAAATAAAGACATTTCCTGACAAAAATGTAACAGAATTTCTCCTCAAACTATGCTTCGAGAAATGTTACATATAGTTCCCCAGTCAGAGGGATGTTGTACCTAGGAGAAACTTGGGTCATCAGAAAGCATAGAAATGTTAATTATTGGGTAACTGAAAAACTTTGTTTTCTCTTAATTTCTTCAAAATACTGGAACCATCATGTTAAGTAAAATTAGCCAGACTCAGAAAGCTAAATATTGCATGTTTTCTCTCACATGAGAACCCAAATAAATGAATAAAATAAAGGAAAGGTGACAGAAAACCAAGAGGAAGACTTTTGGAGACAGGGAAGGAAATAGGTGGGGAAAAAAGTGAGAGGCAGTAATGGGATAAAAGTAGATCAAGATATGTTAAATACAGGTACCAACTCCCTCAAACTCCACCATCTTATAATACTAATATACACTAATAAAAATACATATGACTGTTTAAAGAGAGAATTTTAACATCACTGTGTGGAGTTGATAATTTATGACCTAAAGCATGGCATAAAAGAGAATAGAGGTTGGCCCTAAGTTACAAGGTTCCTCTACTCTACACAAGGTAGTAATTTTATATTCTACATGGATTGTGAAAAAACCATGGACTTTAATTGCTAAAGTCTGTAAGACATTAATAGAAAAATACTATAAATAAAAAATATTAAAATAATACAAAAGAAGGAAAAAAAGGAAGAATGAACAAACACAAAACAAGAATGAGAGGTTAAAAATAGAAAGAAAAGAGAGTAAAATGGAGACCCAATTCAAACAAATCAAAATTCTATTACAATTAAATTGACTGAAAGATCCAGTTCAAAGGCGGGGACTGTCAGAATAGGAAAAACAAAACAAAAAACCCCCAGCCACATGTGGTCTAGTATAGAAGCGCTTTAATATGAAGGCACAGAATGGAGAGAAAATGCCATTTGCTGTTATCCATCTGTGAGCCCCAAAAGGCTGGTGCAATCACATGATCACCAGATGAAATGGGTTTTGTGGCACAGGGTGAAAGGTAGCATTCTGTCACGATTGCAATGCTTGTCAGGGTATACCCAGAAAAGGGCTCAAAATACTTGAACCAAAATTGATAAGAAGAAAGAAAGGCGAAATAGATGATTCCAAAATCATAACTGGTGACCTTAAAACCTCTCTCGTAGCTAGCAATAGGACAGCTAAACAAAATACTGGTAAAGGAATAGAAGATGTGAAGAATAAACTGATTTCACCTAACTGCTGTAGAACATCACACTCAACAGTGGTATTCAAACATTCTTTTCAAGTGCAAGTGACTTATTCACCATTACAGATGGCAAGATATGCTATGAAATGAGCCTTGAAAAATCCAAAAGACTTAAAAATGATGGAGAGTACTTTCTCTGATTACAATTAAGTTAAATGGGAAATTAACGACAATATCATAACTAGAAAACCACAAATATTTGTAAAATTAACAACAAACTTGTTAATAATTCATAGGTCAAAGGGGAAATCACAAGGGAATTCAGAAAGTATTTTAAGTAGAATGATAAAGAAAATACAATATACCAGAATTTCTGGGATGCAGCTATAGCAGGGAACACAGGGAAATATATAGCTTAAATGGTCGTATTTTTTAAAAAAGGAAAGATCTAAAATTTAGTGACATAAGATTCCAATTTAACAAGATAGAAAAATACAAGATCAAATTAGACCCAAAATAACCAGTGGAAGAAGATGATAAAGATAAAACACTGTGAAAGATGATTCCTTGAAAAAAATGAACAAATCCCCAAACTCCTAGCTAGACTGAGTAAGAAAATAGATAGAAATCAAATTACCAGCATTAAGAAAGAGGAGTTAATGTTATATTTCCTAAGATATTGCAAGAATAATAAAATAATATAATAAACTACTACAGGCCGGGCCTGGTGGTGCACACCTGTAATCCCAGCACTCAGGAGGCAGAGGCAGGAGGATCCCTGTGAGTTTGAAGCCAGCCTGGGCTACATAGTGAGTTCAAGGCCATCCTGAACTACATTAGTGAGACCCTGTCTCAAAACAAAACAAAACATAAATAAACAACTATGTACCAATAGGTTCAGAAACTTTGATGAAATTGATAAATTCCTTGGGAAAAGTACAAATTGACAAAATATAAAAATAAGAATTAGAAAATCTTGGTATCTAGTGTCTAATAAAATTGATTCAATATCTAGAAACATCTAACAGGTAGGTTGGTTGGTAAGTTTGACCACATATTTGAGGAGGAATAACACCACTCTCATATAAGCTCTGAAAAGGGGAGACACCTCCTAATTTATTTACAAGGCTAGTAAGACTCTGATCTCAAAACCAGACTGAGAGACTAAAAAAAGTTACCTTGCACTATCCCTCATGACCACAAACACTAATTGCTCTAATAATGCATCAGCAAATGAAAGCTAGGAACTTCATGGAAAGGACAAACATTATGACCATGTAAGATTGAGCTAAAAAAGCAAAGCTAGATTGTTATTCACAAAAATTAGTGAACATAGTTCAACATATGAACACAGCAAAAGGAACACAGTATGATCATTCAATAGATGCAGGAAAAGATAAAATTAATACATATTCATCATAAAAAACATAAACTAGGAATGGAAGGCAGTTTCCTTAGTTTGTAAAATGCATTTATGGAAAACTTATACCAGATAACAAGTGAAGTAAAGATATTTTTGTTTGCAGTTAACATAACTGATTACATGAAAAATTCTGTGGACTCTACAACAATTAGCACTAGGAAGTGATTTAGGAAAGTAGTAAGGTTAATATAAAAATATCAATTTTATATTCATATATGAACAGGAAACCACTGAAAAATAAAATAAAAATGTTTTACAATGGCATGAAAATCATAATCACAATCATAATCCCAGCAGTTCTCTTTTTGTAAAGGTTGAAAAATCTACTCTAAAATTTGTATGGGGATGTAATTGATGTGGTGTATTCAGAGCCATCTTGAACACTCACTTCATCAGACCAAAGACTTACTAAAAAGCCACAACTATCTAGACATGTAGTCCAAGAGGAAGGACTGTAAAAAACAAAACAAAACAAAACAAAACAAAAAACAAAACCAAACCAGAAAAGACCGCAGTAATTTAGGAAGAGTCTGAGATGGACCCACAGTCACACTGTGGAATGATTTTCTGTTAAGCCATCAATCAGTGTGATGGGGGCCTGGGATTTAGCTCAGTGGTTCCACCGCCTGCCTCACAAGCAGAAGGACCTGAGTTCGATCCCTGGTACCAAAACAAAACAAAAACAAAAACAATGTGATGAGGAAAGGGCATTCCTCATCACTAGAATGTCCATATGGAAACTCGACTCAACCTATCCTGTACACAGACTTGGTAGGAAAAGTTCAAACTCCAAAGATTTATGGGATAATACAGGAGAAATTATCACACAATGGTGGTAGGGAGAAGTTTCTTGGAGTCCCACAGGAAAGGTAAAATAAATGAATAATAATTAATAAATGAAAAAAATTGATAAGCAAAACTTCACCGAATTGGTAACTTCTGCTCACAAAAAACATTGTTAAGGAACTGTATAGGCAGCTATGGAGTGGGAAAAATATTCACAGAAGGTGGTCTTGACAAAGGGATAGCATTCAGGCTGGGCTTGAACTTGGGATGTTCCTCCTGCCTCAGCCTACCAAGTGCTGGGGTTACAGGCATGAGCCACCACACCCTGCTCTCCTTCCTTCTTTCTTTCTTTCTTTCTTTCTTTCTTTCTTTCTTTCTTTCATTTCTTTCTTGTTTTGAGATAGGTCTTGCTGTATACTTCGGGTTGGCCTTGAACTCACTATACAGCCCAGGCTGGCTTCAAAGCAATCCTCCTGCCTCAGTCTCCTGCGTGCTGCAATTATAGGTGTGTGGCACCATGCCTGGCTCCTTTACTTTAAATAAAAGTTGCATTTACCTGTTCATTGGTTGTCCTAGCCAATTCTTTGGATGGGACAGAAAAAGCCTAGAACCACTGGATACCGTGCCATCTGGCAACATAAACTTGCAAGCACAGAAAGACTTGAATCAGAGTTCACACAGATTTGTGTAACCCAAACCAGAAACAGGAAGGCGTTCAACACCTGGAAATGGATGATACCATGGAACCCACTCAGCAGGATGGTCCCAAAATGTTCTGGGCTAAAGAAGTCTCAGGCAATAGGGCACATGCTGCAGTAATTTG